GTCGTTCCTATGGAAACGTTACGTCCAACGACAAATCAAAAGGCTGTTTATCTATTTTACGAACCTACACTTTTGTTACTAAATGCAACGTTACGACCGAGAACTGTATTAAAATTACCCTTAGAGCCGGCTAGCATTTTCGTCATGGAAATATGCAAATTTCGGCCTAGCCTATTTTTTTTATGTATAATCCGTTATTGCATTTTTGTTTCTATTTTTGTAAACACGATATCTACTTATTTTTTTAGAATGTTTTTATAGTACCGTACAGTACGGTAAATTAAATTTGAAATTAAAAAAAAAATACAAACGTTAATTTTGTTTTGTATTATTTCCTTTCGTTTTAAAAAATAAATAAGTTTTCGTTTGTTATCTTACTTAAGAATATAGTTTGTATACCAGCCCTTAAAAAAAAGAAAGGAAAAAAAAGGAATACAATTGATGTAATGATTTCATCCGGTTCACGATGTCTTAGTGTTTGCTCAGAAAATACAATAAAGTTAACGGATTAAAGACACAAATTATGAACGAAATTATAAGAAATAATCCCTAAATCGGTCAAACAAACAAGATAAAAGCTTTAAAATAGTCGTAAAAGATGTTCACCTTTTATCTAGCAGATAACATCTTTCTGCAGTCCGTCATCCTGGCACAATCCTGATAAATTTGTCGGATAACACAAACTGTTTGACTTTCTTTATCCAAAGATGTGTTAAAACGACACCATTCCATCCAAAAACAATGATTTTTAAGATGCACATTCCGAACATCACGGGTGTGTTGCTCACAAATACAGCATGTAGTCTGAAGATGCTAGGGAGGAAGCTACCCGGTGCTCCCTCTGTTGAAGATGAGAGGCTGAATGATGCTGCTGATTACAGAAACAAGCATCTGCAGCTACATCCTCTCTTCCGATCATAATTCATTCCTTGTTATTCTTATCTCCTGCAAATAGGTAAATTATCATCATTAATGATTTAATAAATTAAGAAATAAATAAATAACAAATCATTATATAAAATATTTACAAATTTATAAAATGTATTCAAACATATTATATAATTTTTTTTTAAACTTTTGCCTCTAAATTTCCGAACTAAATGCACATTTTGTTATTTAATTTAATTAATAAATAATTTTATTTCTATTTAAATAATAATAATAAATTACTATTTTATTCTTCGGAAGTCTTTCTAAACTTCAAAATATAAATTTAATTAGCATCTAAGTAAATTCGATCATTCCTCGGTTAACCTAGTGATAGTAACCTATAATAAATCTGTAATAATCTATATATATATATCGCTAAATTATTAAGTGAAATCAATTAATTACATTTATCAATGATTATTATATTATAATAAATTTATTATATAATAATTTCCCTATTAATTACTATAAATTTTTTTCCGTTTTAATAAGTCAACTGGAGGGTTGGGAGAGGTGATTGATGGCTCTAATTTGGTCGTATGAATGTTTATAAAAATATGAAATGCATTTTAATTATCTAATGATTATTATTTTTCGATTTATGGAGTGTTTTTATTAATATATTAATTCTAAATTTAAAAGTTCATTTGGAAGTGATGTTAGGAGATGTACATGTAAAAACAACGTTCAAAATGCCATGTCAAATTTTACGCTTTTTAGTCTGTTCAACGTGCAGTGCAGACCTCTTCACTGATGACAAAAATCGATCGAGTAAGGAGGTCAATTTTGGCAACTTTACTAGCTAGTGCCATCTATTGATGGAATTCATAAATAATTAATATTCAATTTTTGTTTAAGTTGCCTTATTGTAGGATATACTTTTGCTTAGATTTCGTAGAAAATTATGTAAGGTTCCGTTATAAAAATCGAAGTGAATAATCCTTTTCATGAATGTTTACTGTGGGTAGGTGTAATTAGTTTGTATGAAAGTAACCGCTACGCTTATTTATTTTTGTTTTTCCTTCCCCCCTTGTTATACAAATGTATGGGTGTTATTCGTTTTGTATATGTTAAAAGAACGGAATGTACGTTTGATGAGAACCAAAATGGAAATTTCTAGCGATGTTTATTAAATCAAACTTATAAAGGTTGCCAAGGCGATGTATAAAAGACCCGAAAGAGTCGATAGTTCATTATGAGGATGCCTTAGACAATCTTGTTTACATAAGAGAATCGAGGACATTTCTGATAGAATACATAATTTCCTGTTCAAATAAAACTCCCACGTATAATAATTATAAACAACGGTATATGATGATGAAAAAATATAATTAAATTTAGTTTTTACAGAATTCGTTTCTGCGATAAATATCTAACTTTATGTGGATTTGCTACGAAAATTAATCATTAAAAAATAGTTCTTAAAAATTGCTTAGTTACGTTCGCATTCGACAGATGGCGGCATTTAAGTAAAATATTTTTATATCCGTTAGATGGCGTTTTAGTCATTAGATAGACGGCTCAATTGTTTTCTGGAAAATCCAACAATAGAGCAATGTGATTGGCTGTTTAGTCTAACGTTTTAAAAATGTCGCCATTTTGGATCTATTTAATATGCAAACAGCATGCAAACTGATTAAATTGTGTGTTTGTATGTGTTTTTTTTTTATATAAACACTACAGCTTTTTTTTACGTCCAGTGTTTTTGTTTTCAAATCAGATTAAATAAAAAGATGGATGGAATATGCTAGATATAAATTTAAACGACAATGCATTAAAATATATTTTTATTATATTTTGTTAAAAAAATTATATATTAAACAGAATATTTGTGTCAGTATTGTGTTGGTATTGATATTTACAATAAGCGGTATTTTTATTTTATTACTTTGTGCAATATAAATTAAAAATGATTTTAAAAGAATCCTAGAATTAATTATATAAATAAAAGTAAATTAATAAAAAAAACAAAAAATTATGCCTATATAATTTACCTTCTACTAGGCCTATATCGAAATAAAATTTAATTAAATATATCCTTATCAAATAAATGCATTTTTTTTTTTTTCAGTTCTTGAGAAAGCTCTGATATTCAGAAATAAACAATATTAATTTTATTTGTTTAATGGTTAAATTTAAATTAATCTTAGCTATTTTATATAATAATATATGATATAGTACGTTTTATTCAGGTTCTAACGTTTATAAATATTGATGAACTAACTTGTAATTATTATTAATAATCTTAAATAAGGAATATAACTATCTTGATAATATATTTTCATCTTGTGTATTGTGTACATAAATAATTGACATTACATCAATTATTTATGTGTACTGTATATACTGCATATATATTTTATAGCAAGCAAAGTCATTAAGTTCACACATTTCTCATTGATCAAATGCTGAAAGCAAAGTTAAATTACACCTTTTTTACCTACAGATAACTTAAAAAATATTTATTTTTTCACGTAATTGAATCATTAACAATATTCGATAAATTAAATCACTCAATATACAGTTTTTTTATAAAATAATTTGAATATCTTACTGTTTTTTCGCTTTCAGTCAGATGGCCAATTGCCGAATTGTTGATGTTATAATGTATTTCATAAAACAAAATTCCGCAATTCTTTAACACTTAAGAGTATAAATAATTCTTTAAATAATTAAACCAATTTCCATTTTCAACTGAATTACTGTTTAATAATTTATTAAAACTAGAATTAACGATAATATTTATTACAAATGATTATTTTATAATTATTTATTAAACATTTCAATTTAATATATTAGCGATTCTGAGATTTTTTCTTAAACACGAGAAAGATATTGCAAATATTTTAAAAGAAAATAATCTTATTTAATTAGAAATTATGCAGTCATTTATGGATTTTAAAATATTTATTAAGTACATAAAACTAAATATATAAAATTCTGGAAAATTAATGATTTATAAATATCATATAAGAGATAGGAATATAACTGATATATAAAATGGCAGAAAGATTCTTTTCCCTTTGTGTAATGACTAAGTTATAGTGATAACGCCAATTTTTCTACCAAAGGATAAATTTCATATTTTAAAATTTAATTATTGACTTTATCGCTAGATGACAGGACAAATAAGCAATTCGTATATTATTTACAACACTACTTTAATATTGTATTTGGAGTTTAACATACAATAAACAGAAATAAGAGGGGGGAAATCGAAAGATTTGAAAAGAATCCATTACGTTGAAATAAAATATTTATAAAGGAAGAAAATATATATATAACATAAAAAAAATAAATCGATTTTTTTGATAGTTTCTAAATTGATAAATTCTATATTGATTTTCTGCTTGTAAGTTACTGTGCAAATTTCAAAATTGAGTTTATTTAAATAAGAATTTTCAAGTTTCGGTAATGATTAAAAATTAAGTACAGTAATTCGATTAATAGTAGTTAATTAAAATGAAATTAATTCGAGAAAGAATATAACTAAGAGAAATAAAAACTTGATGTTTACAATATTAATTAATTAATAATCAGTGGTGCTGAATTGATTTTTTTTTTTTAAATTTAAGACAGGAATGTGAAAATTTAAAGAATATTTCCCGAGAAATGTATACAAATTGTAAACATGTTTATACATTTCTACACATGTATGTATATACTGTAATAATTGTATAATTTTATTGATAAATTTGTACGTATATTTAATATGTACAGTCAGCCACAAACAAGCACAAGAACAAAAAAGAAAAAATTTCAAACGAATTTTACAATGAAGAAAAAGTGAAATAAAAGAGAAAATCTTGTAAAAACAGAACTTGTAGACAAATTATTATTAGCACAGTTTGATTAAAATTGATCTTATTACTCATTACTTTAATACCTAGTCGAAATTTCATTTTTTTACTAAATTTTTTAAAGTGAATTTATCCGGAAAGTTCATTGGCATCTTTCTTTGAAGTATGATAGTTCGCGAACATTCATTAATTAAAAATTCTTTTAGACAGGTAATTTGAGAGAGAGTTTCGTGCAATACTTAATCTACAGTTTTAAATATTCACTTCTTAATAATTATAAAATTTATTAAAACAACTTATTAAAATATATCGATGTTACAACAAATTACGTAAACAAGTTTTTGTTAAGTTTTACAACTTCGATAGATGACCATTTGTTTAGGTGAACAACACTATCGTGTGTGATGGTGAACGGCGCGACTGGAAAAGTAATTCTGGGATTTGATAACTTTTTGTTGGATACGGTCGAACGAAGTGTGGTTCTCAACGTGTCGGTAGATCTCGCTGTTAGGCACGAAATTCCGTCTTTATTGCTCTTTTTAACAAAATATTTCCCTTTGGCATGAAATGTGAGGTAAATGTATGGATTGAGAGCGCTGTTGCTAGCCGATATGACGTCCAACAGCGCTACTAAGTTAGAATCTAAAATTTTCTGGTTGCTAAAGGCGATGACAAACTCTTCTATTATAGAAGGAACGTGAGTGATTATAAATGCCATTAAAATTGTTAAAGTCATCTTTAAAGTTTTCACCTTAGCTCTGGGTAGAGTAGAAGCTGTAGTATAATGTAAATCCATAGCGGACGATTGTTTCCAGATTTCGATCAGTATCCTAGAATACAAACTAATTAAAAGCAGAAGAGGAATGAAGAATATCGATAAAAATACAAAAATCGTATAAAGTTGTCTGTAGCTTTGTGTCTGGTCTTCGTGTAACAGGGTGCAATAACAGCGGCCTCCGGAGTGTTTTATCTTTTTGTAGAAATAGAGATTCGGTAACGATGGCAGTAACGAGAATAACCAAGCCAAGAGAGCCAAACGGGCCGGTTGTAGGCATGGTGTAAGTGGATGGACGACAGCAAAATGTCGATCTAGAGCAATACTCACTAATAAATATCTAGAAGAAACCAAAGCGAAAGTCTGCAACACTTTAAAAATCCTACAAAAGGCATCGTCGGCGATCCAAGAACGATCCATTATCTCCCAAACTAATTGTGATGTCATAGTGACGAATGTGACTAAAAGATCGGCCACTGCCAGGTTGAGAAAAAGTATAGTAGCCTTTGCGTAACGATTCCTGCGATTGGGAAACAGTCGACAGCATACGGTGATGTTGCCAATAAGAGAAATGACGATCATAGTTATTATGATGGCAATTTTGATAGTTTTATGGTATTGCGAACCGAAGATGTCTTTTACAGTCGAATTACTGTTGTCAGAAGCGTTGCTAGAAGCCATTTTTACACCAGCAAAATCAAATTAGCCATCAGCGATTTGTATTTTTATACCTAAAAAAACAAACAAGAATAATTGATATTAGTTAAGAAAAATTAACTTTACAAGTTTTTATGATACATTTATTAGAAATAATGGAAACGGAAATTTTCTTAAATTTTAAAAAAACAACATGTATTTCGTTGGTTAAATTGCGAATTTAAATAAATAAATTATATTCTCTTGAACTTCATAAATCATACATTTTCTAACTTATAATTATTTAAAAATTAAATAATGTTATATTCACTTTACATTTTAATTCCAACTAAATAAATATTCCAGAGGTGGTACCGAAGATGGAAGGGATAAAGGTAAGCGTGTCAATATAGCAATATTTACTCATCCTTTCGATACTGTGCAAACGTTCTTTATTGTTAACTATATTTTGCGCCTTATGTCCATAAACCGCATTAATTAGGTTGTTCCAAAGGAAGATTTTACATATAAAAGGAATCCTGTATAAAATTTATAACGTCGTAGTGAATGTCTATTTGTTTTATTACATTATATCTATTATTTATGAATTTTTTATGGGATGGATATATTAATATCAAAAGTTTAAAATATAAAAATTCATTATAGATAGCGCAGCATATATGTAATTTACGAAAAAAAAACAATAATACAAAAATTATTTTAACATATAGAGAGATATTTGCACAAAATTGCCGTACTTTGTGGTTCATAATATGCACCGAATTATTCAAATAATAGAACTATGTCAAATATTCATTCTGAAGTTGTATTGTTAAACTAGGCAAATTACCTAGATCGCAAGTTGGATCCTGATGCATCATACATGCCGTAGGTTGATTTTGAAGGGTCAAATTTGGAAAAAAAAAGCGCATCTTAATATGCAATTACATTAATTAATCGTGAAATCGCACCTGGATATCCTTCTTAATCTCTTCTGACCTTTACGTCATTACGTGTGAGAGAATTATAGTAAATATTGACGATAAATGTAACGAGAATACTTATACGGATCCATAATTAGCACGCACAATTATAGCACCTTTTTAACTTTCTGCAATCACGTGATCATATACATCGAATGTTTGGTCAAAAGTTATTTACGGTCGCGTAAATTTTACTGGAAAATTAAATTCCTTTCTTTCATACAAAAGGTAACAGAAAGAATCAGGATTGCCAGTTTTAAACAACACGAAAACAGCCAAGCATCTACATCTATATATATATATGTGTGTGTGTGTGTGTGTGTGTGTTTGCGTCAAATACATTGTTAAAAATATTTTTAAAATAGAAATTGCGAATCGCGGAAATTGAGGAAATCCAAAATGGCGTGGAAGACTTATTAGATTACAATGCCAAACGCCGTTAGGTAGAATAAGAGTTTTATAGTTTCTATCGATTCCTTTAATATTCCATCAGAAAGTATTTCTCTGTTACCAAAATAGTACAGACACAGAATGCAAGTAAATCGGGAGATTGTTCATTCACTTATGAAGCGTATAATTTAATCTATAGTTCCGAGGAGCGCATCGATTTATTTTGCTTCCAAAAAAATACATAAACAATGGAAAATACGAAGTAGAAAAAACTATTTCCCACGAGGACACCGAAAAAAAATAATTCACAAATTGGGTTCGTCTCGAAGATCGCGGGGAAGAAACAGACGTAAAAAAAAAACAAGGTTAACAGTCGGATCACTCGAAAACCGGTTGTTGACACAGATCGATTATCCGGTAAATGAACAATCGAATCAATCGAACAGTCGTACATCTCCGAGCGGATCTAGAAATATATCAAACCTAATTCATAAATTGATACCTTTCGTTAGATGATGTCCCTCGAGTGATAAAGTCAGTTCGATATCTGTGCCATTTTACTTTTATATATTAGTATAACTGAGATAGATAATTCGACTGATAAAATACACTACAAAAATATGGAATAAAGATTAAACAATTTAAATAATTAAAATAATTCTTACGATCTGGTATTAAGCGCTTAATTAATAGTCTTAATCAAAAGTAAGCATGCTGTTGATATAAAGATTATATTAAGTGAAATAGTCAGTTCGTTTGTCTGGATGAAATTATTATAAAAATTACTATAATTAAAATATGTATTTCAGAATGTGTATAAAGAAAATACTTCAAAGTAAACCATTTGTACAATTTCAATTCGGTTGATAAATTCTTATATATTATAAGTATTTTTATTTTATATACATATAACTAATAATAAACAATTAATAATATTTCGGAGCTTATCATATAAGCATTTATTTGCTATGTTTAGAAGAAATAATATCCTCGATATTGCGGCGAGTATTTTCCCCCCTATTTATAAATTTTTGTAATTAAAGATGATTTACTTTTATCATAAAAACAAAATTCATAAATGTTAGGTGGATATTAATAGGCTGCATCTAGGCAACCAACTCGCTATTCTGAATATGAATTTTTATTATGAAATTGTTTTTATCTATGATCGATTACGAGAATCTAAACAATTGAACGTTTTCTTTTTACCTTACGAAACAAATTCTGAAAGACTGGATATAAATAAAACTTCTTAGATCGAAATCCAAAAATATATGTCAAAATCAAATCAAAATTTTACCAAAATTTCGTCCGTTATAAAGAATTTTCTTTATTGTTTTCCTTCGAATATAAACAATAAAGACTTATTGAACTAATTACACTTTCTATTTTTATTATATATATATTTTCTTTTTCAACAAAACTTCCATTTATCTTTTATCAAAAATGATATTAAATGTCTTCTACTAAACCGTAAATACTATTATAAAAAAAAAATATTGTTTATTCCTTCACCAGCCTATAAAAATAATTTTAGACAGGTACTATTTATAAAAACTTTTATGTAGGAGGTAAAATCGAACATTTCACGCTTGACTTCTCGAAATTTGTAACCAGAAATATTATTGTATTTTTATGAGATTTTTGAACTTCGCTTCGAATGATTATTAACCTTGAAAAGTAGATATAATTTCTCTCCATCGAGACCACACGATTATCAATAAATTAATGCTTTTAATTAAAGTTATTATTTAACAGAACGTTGATCCCGATTACTCGAGAGATTTCATTCTGTGCTACTTATTTTTATATATATGCTTGTTTATTAATAAAAATATATTTTTCGTAATATCAGAAATTAAGAATAATTAATGAATCATTAATTGTTTGTTCTCTTATTCTAACTATTGTATGCAATTTTGGATTTGTAATTACTGGTAGATTAATTGTTGTAATTTATTCTGGATTTGTAATGATTTTGTTTTGTATTACGAAATGAAAGTTTGTGTGTTTCTTCTCAATTTTCAAATTGTATATATGCATACTGTAATATATAATACAGTAAACTCTCGATTAAGCGAACTCTAAAAAGACTAATCTAAATTGTTCGCTATAGTGGATGGTGACTATATCGAGAGTGCACTATACGAGTGTTCTGTAGGTAAGTTAACAATATTCCTAACAAAATTTCATTCTAACGTTTTGTGTTTCAGTGCTTTGTACATTAATATTTTCATAACAGTTTATAGTCAATATATGAGCTAAGACTATATATATATATACAGTGAAACCTATGTAAATGGGAATTGCACGGTACTGAATATTTTTTTCGGTTTGGCAGGTTTCCGTTTTGAATAGGTTTTGTTTTTTTTAACATAGAAAATCACTCCGTTCCGAAAAATTTAGGAATTTTTCCATTTAGGCAGGTTTTCGTTTTATTTTAGGCAGGTTTCACTGTACATACTTTTAAAAATTGTTACGTCTATTTATCATATAAAATTTTGTGTGTTGTAATGCACTTTTAGCATTTCCGAGCTATCGTATATATTTTTTTTATTACATTAAGATAAAATTTTAAGCGTTTTACGACTTCAAAATACTTTTTAGAATATTTTTAAAAGATGTACTTAAAATTTTCAGTTTTTTTTCTCCAATTTTATTATGATTTTATGTCACATTTTTAGACACAGTAAAAGTTTAAAATGCTTTTTCCTATTAAAATACGTCTCATATTTTACCCGTAATTTAGATGGAAAAATTGTTTTTCTTTTGTCCTCGACCTTAAAAATATTAAATGTCATTTATATAATCATTTGTCATTTCGATATTTCTAAAATTTGGAATTCTCGTAAACACACAAGCGCTAAACACTTGCAGACTAAAAGGGAAAGGGAGCACTAGCGATCTATTTTCGTTTACCTAAATATTTTGGACCTCTAAATTCAAAATGCAGAGGGTCAAAGTTCTATGTAATTAGGTTAAAATGTTTATATATATAGGGCCTATATATTTTTCATATTCGTACTTTTATTTTAAACTAAAAGAAAAAATATTAAATAATTATACTTACTCTCTTATATATATCACCTTCATTTAAAATACACTTTCGGATGAACAGCTTAATTAGCAAAGTCATCTCGTATAGTTTTGCTCCGATACTGAAAATATGAGCAGCATCTATAGATTTTTAAATGCATAAAAATTAATTTGAAAGTTAAAAACGAAAACAATATTTTAAAATTGTTAATACTTTATTTAAATACATATTTCACAATTCAAGTGAAAATCCTATTACAAACTGGGAGATTTAAGAAAAATTAAATTGCATAATCAATCCTCTATCTTATATTAAAAGAAAAAAGTCTTTCAGGTATCCTATCCTTTCAGCACTTTTTTTCTTTAATTTATAGTTTAATTATTGTAGTTAAACTGATTTACGTATACATTACGTATAAGCAATTTATCTAGAAGAGCGTAAAATTGCATTAAATAATTTTTTAAAAAATAAAATAATACCTATAATTCAAACAATGAAGAAAATAAAATATATTAATCTCAACTCTTACGCGAAGGATTTATTTCGAGATTATTTCATAAATATAAAAAAAAAATGGAATTTATCTTTTAAACTTGATGTATGAATTAAGAAGCTTGAACAATGGTTTCTGCAAACTTTGCGAGAATATAATGCTTCGGGCTACATAGCCTATCCTTTGTGGATAAGAAGTAAAGTGTGAAGTCAAAATAAAAGAAGCTCGTTTAATAATAAACCTCGGGCGGTTGTCGATAAAAAGAAAGTTTCGAAAAAATTCGATTTATAAAAAGTTTTTTTGTTTTTTTAAAATTACAAACTATTAAACGACAACATTCAAAACAAAATGTACTCAAAAAATATGTCATATATCTTTAATGAAGATTTAAAAACACATTTCGGATAATTTTAACCCGACTTAAAATATGAAATTAGATTTTACAACTTACTATAAAAGTAAAATTACATATTAATTAATTATAAATTTTTACAAATTAATAAGAGTTAATATTGTAGATTTTTAACTGAATCATTACGAAAATTTAGTGTTTAAATTCTAATATTCTCAATTAAAAAAAAAAATTCGAACGAAAATGATCTGAAAGAAAGTATATTACTTACGTGATGATTAAACAAGTCATTCTCTTCATGATCTTCTAGTGGAAGACTGAAGGAGGAACGAGATGCGACAATACTTTTCACCAACATCCACCGATCATGCGCAGTTTTGTTTTATCCCACTTCCAGTTTAGATTCTTTCATATTGATTAAAGTCAGTGACCTGTTTCTAATAATTCTTCACAAGTTACTATTTTATAGAGATGAAAAATTTCCAAGTTAAAAATAAAAGTTTATATCACTGGCGATTAGTGAAAATTTGAATAAGCTGTTTGAAAACATTCTGGAAGAGTTCAACATTATGTAGATATCGAGTAAATCTTACATTTGCTGTCAATAATTCTCGATTATGTGACGTGTCCATGGCAACTAAAATACTTTGAATTAAACGGCCTTGACCTTAAAAATTGCGAAAGCAAACTCTTTTCTGCTTCATTCTTTACATTAGAATAGTAAAATGATTTTAAATTCAGACATTACCATGCCTTATGTTTTATTCGAGGACTTTAAATTAATTGTGTTAATGCGAAACTTTCCTTACGAATTAATTATAAATTCAATTATGGTTTATGTTGCAATCACTTATTTAATTCATTAGATAATAATTTAACCCAAACGTTCAAAATAACCTAATTTCGACTCTTCCATTCTTTAAACAATCGTATTTTCTTATCACGTCGACATTCGAGTTAATTAAATATGGGATTTATGTTAAATAAATCGAAAATTTTTTAGTTATAATTGGTTTAAAAGCAATAATGTGACTAAAAATATGTAAGAGAATATTTCAAAAGTATACTTGGTTTATCCGATAATTTAATATAATTATAAGTTATATAGGCCTATATAAAGATTTTTGTTATCTTCTAAACGCTCTTCTGCAACATCAAATAACCCCGATAACGTTTTTATTTTTAATTTATATATATATTAGGATTTAAGCCAAATTTCTAATATCTTCTACTTTATATAACATGTACTGTAATATTTTTTTAAATATGTAGTAACATACTTCATAGCACTTAATCGGTAGTCGATTTTATAATCAGTAATCGTTCGATAAAACTATAAAATCCGTATTAATTAATCAAAGTTAATAACGTGATAACCAAGTTTATGGCAAGATAATTTGATAAACATCTTAATGAATTTGGAAAACTGTTTTCGAAAGTTTGTCTCGGAGGGAAGCCAAATTTAAATTATGTAGTCCTATTACATGTATTTTATATTGAGATCTTTCTGTATGTGAAGCCATAAATAATTGGAATAAACGTGTATTTACGAATATCTATTCACAGTACATTCACTTCAAAAGTTACCGTTAAAATATAATGTTTCTATAATAGTAATATTATTATTTTTATGTATTTATCAGAGACATAGNAAATTTAAAAGTTCATTTGGAAGTGATGTTAGGAGATGTACATGTAAAAACAACGTTCAAAATGCCATGTCAAATTTTACGCTTTTTAGTCTGTTCAACGTGCAGTGCAGACCTCTTCACTGATGACAAAAATCGATCGAGTAAGGAGGTCAATTTTGGCAACTTTACTAGCTAGTGCCATCTATTGATGGAATTCATAAATAATTAATATTCAATTTTTGTTTAAGTTGCCTTATTGTAGGATATACTTTTGCTTAGATTTCGTAGAAAATTATGTAAGGTTCCGTTATAAAAATCGAAGTGAATAATCCTTTTCATGAATGTTTACTGTGGGTAGGTGTAATTAGTTTGTATGAAAGTAACCGCTACGCTTATTTATTTTTGTTTTTCCTTCCCCCCTTGTTATACAAATGTATGGGTGTTATTCGTTTTGTATATGTTAAAAGAACGGAATCTACGTTTGATGAGAACCAAAATGGAAATTTCTAGCGATGTTTATTAAATCAAACTTATAAAGGTTGCCAAGGCGATGTATAAAAGACCCGAAAGAGTCGATAGTTCATTATGAGGATGCCTTAGACAATCTTGTTTACATAAGAGAATCGAGGACATTTCTGATAGAATACATAATTTCCTGTTCAAATAAAACTCCCACGTATAATAATTATAAACAACGGTATATGATGATGAAAAAATATAATTAAATTTAGTTTTACAGAATTCGTTTCTGCGATAAATATCTAACTTTATGTGGATTTGCTACGAAAATTAATCATTAAAAAATAGTTCTTAAAAATTGCTTAGTTACGTTCGCATTCGACAGATGGCGGCATTTAAGTAAAATATTTTTATATCCGTTAGATGGCGTTTTAGTCATTAGATAGACGGCTCAATTGTTTTCTGGAAAATCCAACAATAGAGCAATGTGATTGGCTGTTTAGTCTAACGTTTTAAAAATGTCGCCATTTTGGATCTATTTAATATGCAAACAGCATGCAAACTGATTAAATTGTGTGTTTGTATGTGTTTTTTTTTTATATAAACACTACAGCTTTTTTTTACGTCCAGTGTTTTTGTTTTCAAATCAGATTAAATAAAAAGATGGATGGAATATGCTAGATATAAATTTAAACGACTATGCATTAAAATATATTTTTATTATATTTTATTTAAAAAAATTATATATTAAATAGAATATTTGTGTCTGTATTGTGTTGGTATTGATATTTACAATAAGCGGTATTTTTATTTTATATACATATAACTAATAATAAACAATTAATAATATTTCGGAGCTTATCATATAAGCATTTATTTGCTATGTTTAGAAGAAATAATATCCTCGATATTGCGGCGAGTATTTTCCCCCCTATTTATAAATTTTTGTAATTAAAGATGATTTACTTTTATCATAAAAACAAAATTCATAAATGTTAGGTGGATATTAATAGGCTGCATCTAGGCAACCAACTCGCTATTCTGAATATGAATTTTTATTATGAAATTGTTTTTATCTATGATCGATTACGAGAATCTAAACAATTGAACGTTTTCTTTTTACCTTACGAAACAAATTCTGAAAGACTGGATATAAATAAAACTTCTTAGATCGAAATCCAAAAATATATGTCAAAATCAAATCAAAATTTTACCAAAATTTCGTCCGTTATAAAGAATTTTCTTTATTGTTTTCCTTCGAATATAAACAATAAAGACTTATTGAACTAATTACACTTTCTATTTTTATTATATATATATTTTCTTTTTCAACAAAACTTCCATTTATCTTTTATCAAAAATGATATTAAATGTCTTCTACTAAACCGTAAATACTATTATAAAAAAAAAATATTGTTTATTCCTTCACCAGCCTATAAAAATAATTTTAGACAGGTACTATTTATAAAAACTTTTATGTAGGAGGTAAAATCGAACATTTCACGCTTGACTTCTCGAAATTTGTAACCAGAAATATTATTGTATTTTTATGAGATTTTTGAACTTCGCTTCGAATGATTATTAACCTTGAAAAGTAGATATAATTTCTCTCCATCGAGACCACACGATTATCAATAAATTAATGCTTTTAATTAAAGTTATTATTTAACAGAACGTTGATCCCGATTACTCGAGAGATTTCATTCTGTGCTACTTATTTTTATATATATGCTTGTTTATTAATAAAAATATATTTTTCGTAATATCAGAAATTAAGAATAATTAATGAATCATTAATTGTTTGTTCTCTTATTCTAACTATTGTATGCAATTTTGGATTTGTAATTACTGGTAGATTAATTGTTGTAATTTATTCTGGATTTGTAATGATTTTGTTTTGTATTACGAAATGAAAGTTTGTGTGTTTCTTCTCAATTTTCAAATTGTATATATGCATACTGTAATATATAATACAGTAAACTCTCGATTAAGCGAACTCTAAAAAGACTAATCTAAATTGTTCGCTATAGTGGATGGTGACTATATCGAGAGTGCACTATACGAGTGTTCTGTAGGTAAGTTAACAATATTCCTAACAAAATTTCATTCTAACGTTTTGTGTTTCAGTGCTTTGTACATTAATATTTTCATAACAGTTTATAGTCAATATATGAGCTAAGACTATATATATATATACAGTGAAACCTATGTAAATGGGAATTGCACGGTACTGAATATTTTTTTCGGTTTGGCAGGTTTCCGTTTTGAATAGGTTTTGTTTTTTTTAACATAGAAAATCACTCCGTTCCGAAAAATTTAGGAATTTTTCCATTTAGGCAGGTTTTCGTTTTATTTTAGGCAGGTTTCACTGTACATACTTTTAAAAATTGTTACGTCTATTTATCATATAAAATTTTGTGTGTTGTAATGCACTTTTAGCATTTCCGAGCTATCGTATATATTTTTTTTATTACATTAAGATAAAATTTTAAGCGTTTTACGACTTCAAAATACTTTTTAGAATATTTTTAAAAGATGTACTTAAAATTTTCAGTTTTTTTTCTCCAATTTTATTATGATTTTATGTCACATTTTTAGACACAGTAAAAGTTTAAAATGCTTTTTCCTATTAAAATACGTCTCATATTTTACCCGTAATTTAGATGGAAAAATTGTTTTTCTTTTGTCCTCGACCTTAAAAATATTAAATGTCATTTATATAATCATTTGTCATTTCGATATTTCTAAAATTTGGAATTCTCGTAAACACACAAGCGCTAAACACTTGCAGACTAAAAGGGAAAGGGAGCACTAGCGATCTATTTTCGTTTACCTAAATATTTTGGACCTCTAAATTCAAAATGCAGAGGGTCAAAGTTCTATGTAATTAGGTTAAAATGTTTATATATATAGGGCCTATATATTTTTCATATTCGTACTTTTATTTTAAACTAAAAGAAAAAATATTAAATAATTATACTTACTCTCTTATATATATCACCTTCATTTAAAATACACTTTCGGATGAACAGCTTAATTAGCAAAGTCATCTCGTATAGTTTTGCTCCGATACTGAAAATATGAGCAGCATCTATAGATTTTTAAATGCATAAAAATTAATTTGAAAGTTAAAAACGAAAACAATATTTTAAAATTGTTAATACTTTATTTAAATACATATTTCACAATTCAAGTGAAAATCCTATTACAAACTGGGAGATTTAAGAAAAATTAAATTGCATAATCAATCCTCTATCTTATATTAAAAGAAAAAAGTCTTTCAGGTATCCTATCCTTTCAGCACTTTTTTTCTTTAATTTATAGTTTAATTATTGTAGTTAAACTGATTTACGTATACATTACGTATAAGCAATTTATCTAGAAGAGCGTAAAATTGCATTAAATAATTTTTTAAAAAATAAAATAATACCTATAATTCAAACAATGAAGAAAATAAAATATATTAATCTCAACTCTTACGCGAAGGATTTATTTCGAGATTATTTCATAAATATAAAAAAAAAATGGAATTTATCTTTTAAACTTGATGTATGAATTAAGAAGCTTGAACAATGGTTTCTGCAAACTTTGCGAGAATATAATGCTTCGGGCTACATAGCCTATCCTTTGTGGATAAGAAGTAAAGTGTGAAGTCAAAATAAAAGAAGCTCGTTTAATAATAAACCTCGGGCGGTTGTCGATAAAAAGAAAGTTTCGAAAAAATTCGATTTATAAAAAGTTTTTTTGTTTTTTTAAAATTACAAACTATTAAACGACAACATTCAAAACAAAATGTACTCAAAAAATATGTCATATATCTTTAATGAAGATTTAAAAACACATTTCGGATAATTTTAACCCGACTTAAAATATGAAATTAGATTTTACAACTTACTATAAAAGTAAAATTACATATTAATTAATTATAAATTTTTACAAATTAATAAGAGTTAATATTGTAGATTTTTAACTGAATCATTACGAAAATTTAGTGTTTAAATTCTAATATTCTCAATTAAAAAAAAAAATTCGAACGAAAATGATCTGAAAGAAAGTATATTACTTACGTGATGATTAAACAAGTCATTCTCTTCATGATCTTCTAGTGGAAGACTGAAGGAGGAACGAGATGCGACAATACTTTTCACCAACATCCACCGATCATGCGCAGTTTTGTTTTATCCCACTTCCAGTTTAGATTCTTTCATATTGATTAAAGTCAGTGACCTGTTTCTAATAATTCTTCACAAGTTACTATTTTATAGAGATGAAAAATTTCCAAGTTAAAAATAAAAGTTTATATCACTGGCGATTAGTGAAAATTTGAATAAGCTGTTTGAAAACATTCTGGAAGAGTTCAACATTATGTAGATATCGAGTAAATCTTACATTTGCTGTCAATAATTCTCGATTATGTGACGTGTCCATGGCAACTAAAATACTTTGAATTAAACGGCCTTGACCTTAAAAATTGCGAAAGCAAACTCTTTTCTGCTTCATTCTTTACATTAGAATAGTAAAATGATTTTAAATTCAGACATTACCATGCCTTATGTTTTATTCGAGGACTTTAAATTAATTGTGTTAATGCGAAACTTTCCTTACGAATTAATTATAAATTCAATTATGGTTTATGTTGCAATCACTTATTTAATTCATTAGATAATAATTTAACCCAAACGTTCAAAATAACCTAATTTCGACTCTTCCATTCTTTAAACAATCGTATTTTCTTATCACGTCGACATTCGGAGTTAATTAAATATGGGATTTATGTTAAATAAATCGAAAATTTTTTAGTTATAATTGGTTTAAAAGCAATAATGTGACTAAAAATATGTAAGAGAATATTTCAAAAGTATACTTGGTTTATCCGATAATTTAATATAATTATAAGTTATATAGGCCTATATAAAGATTTTTGTTATCTTCTAAACGCTCTTCTGCAACATCAAATAATCCCGATAACGTTTTTATTTTTAATTTATATATATATTAGGATTTAAGCCAAATTTCTAATATCTTCTACTTTATATAACATGTAATATTTTTTTAAATATGTAGTAACATACTTCATAGCACTTAATCGGTAGTCGATTTTATAATCAGTAATCGTTCGATAAAACTATAAAATCCGTATTAATTAATCAAAGTTAATAACGTGATAACCAAGTTTATGGCAAGATAATTTGATAAACATCTTAATGAATTTGGAAAACTGTTTTCGAAAGTTTGTCTCGGAGGGAAGCCAAATTTAAATTATGTAGTCCTATTACATGTATTTTATATTGAGATCTTTCTGTATGTGAAGCCATAAATAATTGGAATAAACGTGTATTTACGAATATCTATTCACAGTACATTCACTTCAAAAGTTACCGTTAAAATATAATGTTTCTATAATAGTAATATTATTATTTTTATGTATTTATCAGAGACATAGTCAATTAAGAGTAGGATGCATCCTTCCAAATATATATTAGTCTGGCTAGTATCGTAACATAATTTTTAAAAATTGTACAGAATATTTACAATTTATAAACAGTTTATTTTTAAAATATAAAACGTTTCGTAAGTAAATGAAGAAAATTAAATGTCTTTTAAAGGAGAATATTTTAAAAACCGAAGGTAGAAAAACTGATTATTATTATAAAAAAATTCAAGAAAGAAAAATATCCTTCATGTAAAAAGAATTTTTTTTTTTTATAAATTTAAAAACTTTTACAATATTTCAAAACTACGTCACTTGATTTTTGAGCCATTTCGTAAACTCCCCAAGAAAAATAATTTTAAAAAATCTTCAAACGTTTTGTCGATACTTTGAAGTATCGTTGAACCATTTATTTTCGCTAAAAAAAAGAATTTAAATTGTGATAAAATATTATTTTAAATTATTAAGGTCGAAAATCTTATAAAAATCAATACGTTTAGTTAATTAATCTCTTGTTTACCTTACGAAATTTTTATTTATTACTGAATTAATTTCAAATAGCGTTATCAATATTAAAAAGAACTCTGGTAGTTCGCCGACTTAATTTTGTTATAATATGAAAATTCCTGTATTCTATCGGATTTATTTTTAGTGCGAAATTAATTGATACCTGGCTTTCAATACAATTCGTTCACCCTTACTTTTATCAGATTCTTTTTTTTTCATTTCTTAAGAGATAGCAACTATCATTTGCTCGTGGCTAAGGACCGAGAAATTATGTGCATTGGCAACATGACTTCATCAGTAACTCACTTTGGATGAAAGCAGATGGGAATCATTGATATATATATAACAAATTTAATCCTTTCTGAAATAATATCTTCAAAATTCCTTATTAATATAGACAAAACAGAATTTTTAAAAATTTTAAATAATCCGAAGAGAATTATAAAACTGCAGTTATTGTCCTGACTTGATAGAACTAGTTCTTAACGAACGACTGAGGGAAACGAAATGAGAACATGTCCCCCCCTCTCCAGAGAGAGTTGTATTTTAATCTATTCACTATTATGTCATTTATATATGGTTTAAACAAAGAAAATTGGAATGAAATTTTAAGAAAATAAATCGATATCTCATAAAATTTAAAATAATTTTATCAAATTAAATTTCGTATATTTATATTTGGATGAAGTACAGTGGGAATATCATAGAATATTAATAATTCCAAAACTGAGTTAGTAGTAAAGAGGTAAAAAAATAAATAAAACTAGGTCAAATTTGCAAAAGAGCAAATAGAAAATGTTTTTTCTCTCTTATAACAAGTGAAGAAAATATAATCCTTCTGAACTGATCATCATTTCACAAGAGGTTAGCGGATATCATTAAAAAAGTAATGACTTATCTGAAAATGTTATCAAATTTCTTCCATGAATTCTTTTGCATCTGGAATGTGTATTTTTTACCTTGTAGAACTTATAGAATATTAAAAATATTCTATAATTAACTGTCAAATGAGGTTTTTTTTTACATTTTACTAAAAAATCTTGGATTGGATTTTTAATTCAATAAATATACAAGTTATCGTGTCACGAGATGCTTCATTTATATCGTGTATCAACACTAAATAATTTATTAAGATATCGGAAATAATACGAGTTTTTCAACCTAATCACTGTCATTTTATTTAATTTTTAATTGATTCTACTGTTTAAGAGAGATATAAAATCCTAAACATGGCTAAAAATACATGAATATATTGGAAATTTTGTAATGAAGACAGACACTTTCGAGAAAACCGGGGTTTTTGTTCATTTCAAATGACAATTTAAAGATATCTTGAAACTGCAAAATTTATCAGTATTCTGGTAAAAATAAAAATGATTTATTTTAGACGAGTCGGAGTGATGTATAGGTCAAAACTAGAATAGTTACGTAACAGAAAACTAAAAATATATCACCCAAAAAATAAAATTAAAAATTAAATTTTCTAATTTTTTTTAATCTTTTCTGACTTTAAATCGTTTTATTTAATTATTCAAAACTGCGGCTCTTCTACCGGTAAATATAACATACAAATGAAGATATAAAGCCGCCCTCTACTATATTGTAAAGGCACAGTACAAAATATTATGCAAAAGTAGATGAACAATAATTACAGTTTAGAATGTTTCATCGTGATTATTACTATTATTCAAATACTATAATATCTGATCGATATCTGGTGCAAACATTAATATATCTATATTATTATTATTGTAAATAATAATGTACATATTTCATTATTCTAGCTTTATCTTGTCTCCTTATAGGTTATGACCTGCTGTCTTCTCCTAAGATGCGAGTATGCTGTAATCTTATCTGAATTTTTTACCTACTTATATATATATACCTGATTTCTATAGCACATATCATTGTAATGAAACTCTGGATAAGATAATAATGAGAGATATGATAAGATGTATTTACCATGTATTGACTATACTATTCTACATTACTGTAGAATATTATACATAGCAAATATAATATGTGTAAAGTATATTAAATCTATTTATTTTACTTTATTCTACATCACAGAATAATTTTTATGATACAATATATGAGGTATTTTTTAGAATAATTTATAAAATAGTATAAAATAAAATAAGTAATTTGAATTAAAATTAAAGATGATTTGAGAGTAAACACGGATGATCCGCATTCTGGTGTCAACTTAGAAAACTACCGAATTAGAGCCACCCCCCAAAATACTATTTGCATTTGTCTTATTTCGTTTGTCTTTCGCATCGGTTTGGCATGAATTTGGAAGAATTCTAAAAACTGAAAACATAAACATTCATTATTGCAATGCATCTCAATGCAAGAGCAAACAAACGAAAGTATTTCATTTCATCATCTTCCAAAAATCCGAAGTTATGGAAACGTGGGTGACAATTTTTTAAAATTTGGAAAGCATCAAAAATACTTGTTTGCGCTTTGTATTTCCATACGACTGATTAGCCAAGTAAAATATATTTTTTAGAAGTAATGTACAGTACGGTATGAAAAAAATATTACTTGAATGTCACTTTATAACAGGTTTTTTGATATCGTTCTCTATGATTTAATTTATATCTTTGTTCAACAGATTAAATATTTATATTCGCAAAGGGTTTGTAGGTTAATACGTCACCAAATAAGGCATCTTTTATTTAATAATGCATTACAATTATGCGGAAATTTTGTTTAATACTGTATTAGTAAAGCAGCGTAAAGCCTAATAATTAAATCTTCTTTGACAATTTTAATGACTAGTTCTTTTATACAGAAACGTTTAAGTTAATTAACAGCATTTAATAAAATTTGTTTTATATAGCAAAAATAATATAGGTTGTTCATTAAATATCTAACATAGAAATTTTTGAATTCCTCCTTATAAGACATTTGAAAATTAATAAATTGTTTGCTCTTATAACCAGATATGTTATGTACTGTACAATACGTCCCCTTTTTATTTACTGGTAAATTTTTCTAGAATATTTTTATGAAATGGATTATTACATTAAAAATGGTGATTACACACAGATTTTTAAACAAATCTTTTCATGAGTATGGAAACAAACCCACAAATCTGTTGCCTGAGACCACACAAAATTTAAATAGTTTGCTTCTTCGATAAGACACCGGTTTGTTTCTGCCCGAATAGGCTTATAGATCACTTAGGTGTGTCCAAAAGCAACAGCTACTTATTAATATTGGATTTATATATACCACGGTGGCAAAACTGCGGTTCTTCTAGACCCTTATTGTGACTCCCATATACGCATATTGTATATATGGGAGTATATAGTATATAGGCTTATATATATATAACACAAAAGTCGAACCCCTACCTCTAAGTAATAAGAGACAGAGTCCGATATACGGGAGCCACAGTAAGAGTCTAGAAAAGCCAGTTTGTCCACCATCGTATATAAAAATCCAATGTTAATAAGTAGCTGTTACTTTTGTAGACACAATTAAGTGATCTATAAGCGTATTCGGGCAGAAACAAACCGGTGTTTTATTGAAGAAGCAGTACTCTTGGAAAACTGAACTTTGTGTGGACTCGAGCAAACAATTGTTAGGGTTGAACAGGTTTGAAAAGACTCATTAAAAGATCTGATTAAAATTTTTTGTAATCGCGAGTTTTAGTGTAACCTAATAATCCATTTCATGAAAATATATAAAACGCTGTTGCAATACAGGATATGGTTCTCACGTAAGCGGTATATGGCTCCTTTCGTGACAAGGTTTCGCCACCCCTGGTGTATACAGTATTTACATTGCTAAATATAACGATAAATAACGATAAGCAGTGATGCCTCGTACTTCAAACTTAATTTTTTCCATTAGAAATAATGGAAAAAATTAACATACATGTGATTTAATTATAACAACTGTGACATTTAATACGATTGCTAATTTTAAATTGTATTCTTTGTTTAAAAGCTTATTTTACGATTTGAGTGAATTTTTCATTGCCGCTGTTCTAACTTTGTAGCATCGTTCGAGCTCCAAAGCGAATCTTTGTCGAATTTAGCGTTCGAACTCTGAAAAGTTCGAAGTACGAGTCACCATTGTACCACTTTCAGCCGCCATGTTGTTAAGATGGAGCTGTCACTAAAGTTCTTTTCAATAGGAAATATGTTTTTTTGTATTCAATGTAATACAAGTGACAAGGAGCCAAAGGGCGTTCTATAGATTTTGAACTCGTTATATTGATAAACTGCCTCTCTCCTTATTGAATAACAATAAATTTACGTCCTAGTTTTCGTCTCATTCACTTCTTATGTATGTTCATTTATCAATAATAAAATACTTACCGATAATACTTCGTTCTTCCAGAGTTTCTTCCGATTCTTGAACTTTAACAAAATGTCCGCCGCACGCGCTCCGTCTAAGAAAAAATTCGTCTGTCGTCATTTGATTGGTTAAGACACGAAATCGCTTTATTACGGAACAGAATATCCGTAATTGTCATTATTTGGTCGATTTAAAGTTTAAATAATTTAAGCGTAATTAATTTTTATGCATATACATTTTTTTTTTTAATTTAATTATTTTGCAAATCACGTGATAAATTGGCTACTTCGTTTGTCGGCAATTCATTGGTTCTTCTTTTACTATTTCCCTTTGTATTAAAGCGGTAATTTAATTGGTTAATAGATGAAACTTTTAAATTATTTAACGAAATAAAAAATTTGTTACTCAATTTAAAATTTAAATAATTTAAACGTATTTTATTCGTATACTTGTATTAAATAATAATATAAAAAATTTAGAATAACAATTTTTCAAAATTTAAATTTTAATGATTATTTGTTTTGTATAATTCACGCGCTCGACTCTGCAGTTCGTCTGTCGGCATTTCATTGGTCGAAATTCAAATTACTCTTACTCAAGTTATAGAACAACTACTCTCATTGATTCTTTTTAAAATTTAAATAAATCAAAAATGGAGGATTGTAATAATTTGATAATTGTATCGTTTAGAAGAGGAAAAAACTTTATTAAAATGATTCTTTTTTTTTTAATTTTTAAGTAAATTTAAAATTTTAACATATCTTTACCGACTTCATTTTTTATGTGTTCATGAAAATATTCGTCAAGAACTGGAAAATTGTTATTAAATATTCGATTCCGCTCTGCTAAACGATTTTAAAAGTTTAGTAACCTCAGCGGTAGAACTCTCCAGAAAAAAATAAATAAATATATTTTTATATATTTTTTAAAAATGGAGTGTTCTCCTGACAACAATTTGCACTTAATTTAAGGTTTCTATGACAATTTTATATCGCCGTTATGCACGGGAGAGTAAAGTATAAAGAATTTAGACGAAACACTTTAATGACTTCGAGCAACGAATTGATTTAAATTCCTGAGATATAGAAATATTACCAGGCCTCTGGAAGATCCAGGAAGTTCCCCAACACTTACCTTTATAAGGCCCCCCAGTACATTAAAAGAACACAGTGTTTAAGGTATTTTATTATATTTTTTAAATAATAAAATTTGATAAAACATGAAGGATTTTTTTTTAAACTACGGTATACAAGAAACATATGGAATGGATATTTATAACGAACGTCGTAAATGTAGAGGCCCTTCGCAAGATGTTAAGGCCTTATAAATGCGTGGCTCGTTTAGATCCTACCAAAGCTGATATGTAATCCTGGTATACATCGTACATGGCTCATTTAGCCCGTCATAGGGCCTAGATGTTACCGTATAGTGATTACTAGTAGCAGAATGTCAACGAGACACGTGGATGACCTGCCTCCCGGGAGAATTTTCTATGATAAACTAGCCCGTATTTAGGTGTTACTAACGCGAGGAATGGGCGGCCTGCCGAGTGGATGCCTCCCGAAGGGCCTTCTATGGAAACTGGACCCTATTTAGGTGTTACTAACACGAAGAAAACACGGAAAACTCCACGTGATCAGCTCGTTGGCGAGGCACGACCATGTGTTCGGTGGTTTTATCCACTCGGGCATTAGTGGGCCAGAAATATTCAAAAATCGACGAATTTTTTGTTTTAGATCTCTTTCTTTTTTGGCATAAAAACTATTAAACCAAATTATCTTGTTTAGTGCTAATATACTAACAACAGTTCAACGATTTAATCACTTGAACACGTGTATAGACGTTAAAGTATTATTTCAAGGACTCCAGACAATTATATAAAATTTGTTTAAATTTTAAGTATATTTGTATATGGATATACGAATTTTTAAAGCTTGTCACGTTTCTTTAAATCCTAATTGTTAAATATGATAAAAAGTAAACACGACGCTATTATTTTTTTACATATTTTCATGAAAAATACATATTGTTTGCCAAAGATAACATGTAGTATTTTTTTTTCAAGTTATAACAATAGAAGCAACAGCTGCACTTTATGAACCATCAGAAAACAATGAACCGATAGGATTTAATTATTTAAAAAGGAGAAAAATAGAAAATCGAAGCTTAGTTGCTGAATTTTTTACTGACGAAAATGGCTTTAACATACGTATGTATATATTATACGCCACACATTTAATTATGAAGATTCGCCATTTCTTACCGAAACTTTAAATGACCCTTTACGGTAAGATTTAAGAAAGGACTTTTACCTTCTCCCTCCTATCAAATGTTTGGAAGACGTTCCAAGTTGAATGACATATTGATAATGTTTACGATCTCTATCTAGAATTCTCTCTACGGATAATGCATTTTACAATATCCTTTAAGTTTTCTCTATTATATCCAATAGGTTTTTGCTCTTATACTGTATTTTTATAAGAGAGAGAGGGGGGTGTTTACATTCAAAACCCTGCTACACGGGGATTGGGCATAGAGAAAGCCCCAAAATTTAACCTTTCGTGAAAAAGATCACGCTAAAAGCTATATAAATTATTGTTTCTTTCGATAAATAAGTCTAAATCTACTGTTAAGTAGTTCATTTTACTTTCCCTGACGTTACACATAACACGGGGAAAGTATGGCAATCAGTCAAAATATGAACCACTCTCAAGATTTTTACACTTTTTGACCCAGAGGTCCTTAAAACGTCAAAAAATTTGAGAGTTTTTTCTGTATGTAAGAACGTGGGTATATGTATGACACGTTTTTTTCACCCAATTTGAACCTTAATAGCTCCTGAGCCTTTTGTCGAAATTGTCCGAAAAATTACAGGGAAGTTTATGTATTAGGGAGATTAATGCTATTAAATTTTTGTGGTTAAAGGTCAAGGGGTAGGAAGATAGAAAAGGTCACTTGTCACTTGACTTAATGACGATTTTACTCGTTATTATACAATTTTTATACAACTCATCTCATCTTCAAAATTAATCTTTTTGTCATTTTATAATAATTAATAATATAAAAAGATTTTAAAAATAGAATCCCATAACAGATGGCGCCACACGCAATTTTAAAGTTTGGCCGGGAATGTTACGAAACTCATTTCTAGATTTTTAGTTATTACGTAGTGTTTTTTAACATATAAATATTTTCATTTAATCTATAATTTTATTATACAATTCATTAAATAAAATTAATTAATTTATATACAATAAAAAAACATAAAAATAATTAATGAATTTATTAACTGTTTCCATTAAGTTTTCATTGCTCCAAGCATTAGAAGCGAAAGATTATTTATTTGTTTATCTAACTATTAAATTATAATATAAATAAAAAAAACCTATAAAATTTAATTAATGTTTTATATAATTTTTTTCGTCTGAAAGAATTATATTATTGGTTTATTTACTTCTTAAATAATAACTTCTAAAAAAACAAAATACAAATATAAATTATTTTTCGAATGAATTATTATATAATAGAGGATAAATATTAAAATAAATTATATTTGCTCTTTTTTTTAGCATAATATAATTCAATTTACATGAAATGTCGATGGGATTATGTTAAACATCATCAAGTAAATTTAGTGGAATAATTTTAAATATCAGATTTCTATTAATTCTAGAAACAAAGAATAAGCAAAATGCACGTTCTATAGACTAAATAAAACCCCTTTTCTTCGAAATTAAAATATATATTTATATAATAAAAATAAGTTTAGAAGAATCATTCTTAAACAGAAACCTATCGACTTTTTGGAACTATTAATTCTATAAATAGAGAATCGTTTAAATATTTTCATACAAGAATACCTTCCAAAGTATTTTCTTTAATAAAATATTCCACAAATGTTATGTTTTTCCCTTTGAAAAGTGTCATCACGTTTGCCCCTGTCAATGACACTTTGCCTCGTGACTTAAAAGTCTCCAGATGATGATTCTTAAAAAACGTTTTTTAAATACATTAACTCTATTTTTTTATATAATAATATGTAAAAAATAATAGAAATTTATTATATATTTTCTCAATTTAAAAACTGTTAGAAGTAAATTATATTTTTAATTCGTATAATCATAATTATCTGTGGATAATTTAGGGAGGGGGAAAGAAACGTAAGTTATGTGGGAAGCGATTTGCAAATTTAATATTTTTTTTATATAAAACCAACGTTTTCTTATGAGATTTTAATTACACGTATAAAGAGGTAGCAGTGTTTTTGAAGAGGAAAAAATTAATAATAATAAATACTGTGGATAGTCTATAAAGAATTGTTCTTCTGTAGAAGCTTCCACTGTAGACAATACATTAAAAATCGATAAGATATTTAATTTAATTTTGATAAAATAGAAACGGATAATTTATTTAAAATGCACTTAAGAATATTTTCTACTTTAAGTCCAGGAGAACTTTTACAGTCGAGAGGCAAAGTGTCATTGGCAGGGGCATAACCGATGGCGGGTGTTAAGCGGAAGTTTTTGTCGAATTTTATAATAATAAAAACATTAGATAAAGATGAAAAATATATATATACTAAAATAATAATATAATGAGAGTAAACGTATTAAAGTTCCTCGCATCGATAAAATTGATTAATGGAGTTTTTAACTATATTAAAAATACAGTACACGTCTTATTCATTTAATAAATTTCACTTTCTAGACTGTTATATATAACAGAAAGTATGGCCATTGGTCAAAAAAATGACTCCCTCCTCCAAGATTTTTACAATTTTGTACTCGGGGGATCATAAAACGTCGAAAAATGCAAAAGATTTGAGGGTTTCTCTGTATGTATGGATGTGGATGACACGATTTTGTTCACCCTCTTTGAAGCTTAATAACTCCTGTTCCTTTTTGTCGAAAATCTCTGAAATTTTGCAGGAAGGTTTGTATATTAGGGAGGTTAATGCTATTAAATTTTGGTGGTTAAAGGTGGAGGGAGTGGTGAGATAGAGTAAGTCACGTGTCGTATCTTGAGTGGGGTCTGACTTACTCATCTCTAACTTCAAAATTAAGTTTTGCCATTTTATTTTTATTTTTTTAAGGTGAAGTTGAGAAAATTATATCAACATCGCTTAGTAGATTTAATTATAAATTCATTTATCTAGTTTAAAATAAAACATTCGCCAGCTAAATTGTTTGGAGTTCTTTCTTATTAAATTATACACATATTATATATCATCTTTTTAAGATGTTTTACCTCCTCTATTATTAGAAAAAAAGAATTTAT